TTATATGCCCAGGCAGTCACTGTTTCCCTTTTGGAAATTTAATATCAGTCCTACTAATGTTTAGGACCGGAGAAATGTTGTCAGTACTCCAATATCAATATTTCCAATACCCTGCCGATTTAAAACATTTTCATAGATTTTTCTCTCCTGAGTGTCACTTGAAGAAGCCTTAACCTAGACCAGAATGTCCTCCAATTTTCAATATCATATTGAAAGGCAAGGGATAAGAATCGCACCCTCTAGTCTCAAAAGATAAAAGAGGTTCGATCTATTACCTAAAGACTGTCAACGAACCAGACACTCATAGACTTATATAGACTAAAACACCATCGTATGTATACAGTATATTGTCTGATCCCCAGACAGGAACATGGTACAATCAAACCTCCATACGTTCCTTTTTCGCCATGCTCGACCCTAAATTATTATCATGTAACATAAGGCGTATGATTTATAAAAGTAGTTTTCATTAAAATTGATCATACGACACAATCAGATTATCGTGTTCGAAGATTTTAACTAGATTTGTGCCGACCTAGTTCGGACACACTAGTTCCTTATCTAGTTCCGGGGACTCCGGTCGATTGTATGAAAAATCCGCGTATGAGTGATATGAAATTTATGAAATCACTCATACTTTTAGGAACTGGTATACTGAACTATGAACTAGATTGGCGCAACTCTAATGTTGACGAATAAAATAATAAACAAACGTTGTTTTTTATAAAAACAACAATAATGGGGTTAAGCCTGAACATTTTGCTACAACGAAAGTTTTGCAATATCAATTGTTTGAAAATAAGGTAAAAGGAATATTTTTGTTAGATTGGGGTCCTATCCTTTTAATTGGTAGTTCAAAGACTTTACTAGAATAGCACCGAATCCTAAATATAAATTTATTATTTGATGATTTTTTTTTCTCATAGAATGCTTTAATTGACATGAAATAAATGGAGGACATTGTCTGAATATTTGAGTGTGTTTAAAATTCACTTTTTAACATACTGAAAATTGAGATTAAAAGCGTGAGTATATTTTGTATGAATTGAAAACCATTAAGAGATAATTAAAACCCTTCAACAATTAAAATGAATTTTTAATTATGAAAAAATCTTCATTCTGTCCCGGGGCGATAAATACATTCCATTTTTACTTCATTATTTTACCATAAAAATTGTGTTCTTCCTCAAAATTTACTCTGCCATGAAAATCCACATCATTCTGCTCATAAAAGTTCTCCCCTTTAAAAAACCCCGAATTAATATAGTCATAATAATAGTAATAAAAAAGTGAGTAATATTTAAATTACCATATCCAATCGTAAAATCGGGCCTTTCATTAAAAACATTTAATTCAATATTTCGAAGGTACGTTAAGGCCAATAAACATTTTGATTGCGAAAAAAAGAGAGAAAGAGAACCCCAAACAAAGAAAGGAGAAAGTAGCAAAAAGTTAACAACACCAAAACACATAATCGTTATGGCCCAAGACATGCCAACGACAAACATCACATCTGGACGAAATTTTGTAACGAAATACATAAATATGTGTGTAAATAAATACGAAAATTTTTTTTTTTTTTTTTTTTGGGTTGCTATATAAGTGTAAAAGTTTTTGTTTTCATTTTACCAAAGCTGTCAGTCGTAAAGGAAGGAAAGGAAGTTAATGTTGTTACTGTTGCTGGCCATAAAACATTGTTAAAGCCAGACATTTGGCCAAAAACAAAACGTTGAAGAAGAAACTTTTTGCTTTTGAATGGCTGGGTGCCGGCAGTAGTTTGGTGTGTGTATGGGCCCAACAAGATAAATATTCAGCTGCCTGATAAAATAACACTTTCTTATATTCATGTGTAAGATTGCCAAATTTAAAGATATTTTCCTATTAAATATGCATTGTCAAGTGATAAAGTTGGTATGTAGATTTGAAAAATGTTTTAAATTCCAAACTACAAAACACTCTTATCTTTTGGAAAGACAATAAAAAAGACACTTTTCGGAAAGGGAAAAATGTTAATTTCAATTGTCGCAAAAAAGGCTAAAAATATTTGGCAAAAATAGAAATATAAGCGAACAAGTGAAAAGGGCAAAAGTAGGACGGGGTCCTACACCACTAATTTTCTTTAAAAATTTAGATCAAGGACCAAGGAAACTCTTTGTAAGGCTTCGAAGAGTGACATCTAAGGGCAAGTAATTTATATAAGAAGTAGTTTTCCACAAATTTGAGTTTAGTAATGAAAAGAAACGATTGAATAAGATTTTAATAAAAAAAATTAATAAAAATTATATTCGTGTTTATTTCTCTTTTAAAACGAGTTTAATGATCTGCAAATTTCTGTGGAAAAGAAAGCCAGAGACACTATCACACACTCACCACTATGGGAAGAGTTGCCCCTTTTGTTGAGTGGCTCTTCAGATTTATTTTGTGTGGATAATAGCTTACAAGGGTCGTTCTTTGGAAAGTAGTATTTAATTTTGAATTGGGGGGATTAAGCATATGCGAATAAAATACCAGAATTCGATTCAAGTTCGATTCGAGTTCTACTTGCAACTCTTTTTCACAGCAAAGATTGCTTCCATTTTTTTTTTTTTTGTTTTTTGGGGTTTTTGATAGAATTACGGCGACTTATTTGTGGCTACGATTTCGTTTAACTCCTACATTGTGCAACATAAAAATATTTCCGGGAAAAACAGAATACTTTATGAAAGTAGGGATAAACAAGTAAAAAAAGCCGCTAAGTTCGTCAGGGCCAAACTTTTAATACCCTCTACCACTTCGAAGGATCTCAAATAATTTAAAAAAAAATCCGTCGAAAAATACCACTTAAATGAAAACCGTTATATGGGGTATGATATAGGGTGTTGTACCGATTTCGAACTTCATATACGAAATTTGAAACAATTTCGTTGAATAATGTCCCTGAAATCATAAAAATACCCAATAAAGGGAGGTACCGTTGTATGGGGGCTATACGTTATTGTGGTTCTATATAAACAATTCTCTTTCAGGGATAAAATACTCAGAAGGAACACCTGGTGTCGACCCTGCCGAATTTGGAATTTGGTTTTCTCCGATGAGAAAACATTTGTTGTCCAGCAGTTTGTAAACAAACAAAATGATCCGATCGTGTTTACTTGCCAAAGAGTTCAGCTGAAAATTTGCATCTTCGTTTGGTCACCAGAACTCAAGCGCAGGCTATGGTGATGGTGTGGGCCGCCATAACAGGCGATGGTTGCTCTCCGATCGTATTAATCGACCGTGGCGTCAGAAAAAATGCCGCATATTATCGCGAAAATATTCTGGAGGGTGTACTAAAGCCTTGGTTGGGCACGCAAACATTTTGGCTGCAGAACGTCGAACTCAGCACGTGCCACCCAAGAATGGTTACAAAATGAGGTTCCTCGCTTCATTTTCCAGCGCTCAATGGCCATCAAAATCTCCGGATACAATCCGTTGGACTATTGTGTCTGGAGTATTTTGGAAAGCAAGGTTGGCACTAAAAAATACCAAAGTGTCGATCATCTCAAGCAAGCGCTTCGCCGGGAATGGGTCAAAATACCGAAGAGCAACATTCGGGAAGCGTGTGACGGTTTCATTGGCCGTTTGAAGGCTTATGGCCAAAGTTGACCGAAATTAAATGTGTAATTCAACTTCGATTTTCGTATTGACTGATTGTCTTACTACAAAAGATCTCCTCAATTCATCTTTGCCAGGACCAAATATATGCCTCATAAAGTAAAAACTTTTCACAATTTCATATTTCTTTTTTTTTTGTATATTTTAACTCTTAAATGTTTTCCGATCTTCATAAAACGCAGTACCAAACCTAGTTGATAATAAATCAAACTTTATGGAAACTGAACATTTTGATAGAATTATTGAAAAGCTTAGATGGACGAGCAGGCATTAGTTTGAAGAGTCAAATATTCCCAACTTAAAAATTTCAGAAAAAAATGATTTAGAAAAAGCTGAGAAATGTATTCCTGGATATGAAAATTCGATGTTTTATATATCCAGAAAATTACATATAAAAATATGGAGTCAAAAACTCGACGAATTTACTATTCTGAGAAAAATTGGCCATCTAGAAATGGGAAAATAGCATCAATTAATGGTCTAAATCACCGAATACTTTAGCAATAAATTATATCCGTTTAGACTCACTTTTTGAAATATATCGTGTACACATTCAAAATTCTGAATTTATATGCAAAATTAAGCTTATTTTCCCATACATTTCCCCAACAGAGTATAAGTAACAAATCTTTCCCTCATTCATAATAATAATACGCCAAGTGGTACCTTAAATTCATAAAAATCATACGGCACATCCAAACCAATTTTTTACAATTTTAAATCTGCCACAAAATTAACATTTGCCCACCGCGTGCTAAACTGATTCATGAATGTAAACACCAGCTTATCTCAGGTATTTCATCAAGTGCCTGATTAATTAAAATCTGCACGCCAACTTAATTTAAAACTCATTTAAATTCAACTACAGTGATTTGAATTAATCTGGGTTTAACACTGCTGACATTTGCAAAAAAAAAAACAAAGTGCCGGCGCTAGGCAGTGAAGTCATTTCGTGTATAAAATGGCCAAAAGAAAAAGGCATTTCGTAGAAGAAAAAAAGTGCGACTATTTTTAAATTTTCTTGGAATTTTCAAAAAAATAATCGAAGAACATGAAAATTTTTTTCAACATTCCAGGATTAAATTTTCTCCAAAAATTATTGAAAAAATATTGGGAGATTGAGCAATACAACGCTACTAATTGTAGAAATTTTTTAATAAAATTTAATTTTCGCAAAAATGTTTTAACCTTCGGTAAGAGTAAAAAAATACTTATTGCGTAGTTAACAAATGTTGTAGGCAATAAGAAACCAAATTTCCAGGTGTTCTTCTTTGCTTTTGGCAACTAAGTGACTTCTTTTTTTATTGATTTTGATTAATGTTATATTTTATTAAGGAAGATATTAAACAGAAATTATTTATAATTACATTGGCTTTCTCAAAAAATCGGCTTATCTGTTGTTTTCTTTTCAAAACAATTTGATTTTATTTTTGCAATTTTTCCTTTTTTTATTTTTTTCACTTTGTTGTATTTTTTTATTTAGTGTTATCAAAGATATTGCATCACTTTTGCACACAAATTAATTTATTTTATTTTTTATTTATAATTTTATTTTAATAATTTTGATATTTTCAAAAAGCAAAGAGAGAGACTTTTTCTTCTTGTGAACGTTTACCACGAATATCCTGTGCAGACTGATTTGAAATTGCTTGAAAACGTGGCTTTTACGTGAAGTGAATTAAACGAAAAATATACCCTAACTGTGTGTGTGGTTGTGTGTGTGCAAATCCCCACACGATATACAACGAACGTTGTAGAAGAACGAAGTATGCGCAAAATGTGGCCACCAAATCAAAACACAACGCCTCTCTTTCGCTCATTTCAATTGAAAGTATCAATGAAATTGTATTTTATGCCGTATGAATTGAGAATAAGGCTGGGGGAGAGAGAGTATTCGCAATGTATGAACTGTGAGAGAGAATAGTGTTCTCAAAAATTTCCCAAAACAAACCGTGTGGGGAAACATGTTGCTCATATTACGATGGCTTAGGTTGTGGGTGTTTTTGTTACTGTTTGGGTGGTTTTGCTTTTACCAATACTTAAGTATTTCTGTCGATGTGACTTAAGAGAAAACAGTGTTTGCAGCATGTTTATAATGCCGGATGCAGCATCGTTAAAAGAAACATGTTGCAATTAAAATCTAAAGCTAGAGCAACAGATTTCGAAAAATATGTGGACTAGTTTGACAATTTTTTGTACTCACGAGCAGTACGGCTGTAACCCGAAAATGTATTTTTAATATTTATGAATCCTTGGTGTTTAGGTAAGATATAGACTGTATTCTGAGACCTATAGTAGAATTTTAATGCAAATAATTTTTTGGAACATTTTGACTTGCTATGATCCCGTTTAAAAGGAATTTTTAACGATTTAAAAAAAGGACCAAATAGACGACTTTATTGGTTCAAATTAGAGGATTAAAATGTTCGACCAAAATAATCCTTGTGAGTAATATTTCCACAGACTTGATGTGCCCAAAATGCCAAGATTCCAAGGAATCTTAAGCCGACCAAAGAATAGTTTCCTTTTTTCTGTTTTATCCTGCTAAGGATATTACAATCGTCTTATATGTAAATCATCTCATCTATTTTTTATTATTTTATTGAAAAGCAAGGAAAAAGGTTTTGAATACCCTCTGTAGTACCCATTAGAAACTTCAAATACAAAATTTGAAACAATTCTGGTGAATAATGTTGCTGAAATCAGTGAAATACTGAATGTGCTAAAAGAAGACCTGGACCTCCATAGACAATTATTTGTCCTAGACTGTAGTACCCTTTAGGAACTTCAAATACGAAATTTAAAAGAATTCCGGTGAAAAATGTCGCTAAAATCGTACCGAATAAAGGGAGATACTGTTATATGGGGGCTATAGGAAGACCTGGACCTGCATATGCAATTTTTTGTCATAGGCTGTAGTACCCAATACGAACTTCAATTACGAAATTTGAAACAGGTCCAGTGAATAATGCCGCTAAAATCACAAAAATACGGAATGCAGGGAGGTACCTTTAAATGGAGGCTATACGAAGAACTGGATCTGTAAAGACAATTTTTGTCGGAGACTGTAGCACCCATTAGGAACTTCAAATGCGAAGTTTGAAACAATTCCTGCGAACAATGTCGCTAAAATCATCAGAATACCGAATATAGGGGGGGTACCGATGTATGGGGGCTACATGAAGACCTGGACCTGCATAGCCAATTTTTTGTCACAGACTGTAATACCCATAACGAACTATTATTACGAAATTTGAAACGATTCCGTTGAACAATGTCGATAAAATCATAAAAATGCCGAAAGTAGGGAGGTACCGACATATGGGGGCTATACAAAGATCTGGACCTTCATAGACAATTTTCAGTCACAGACTGTAGTAGCCATTATGAACTATTATTACAAAATTTCAAACGATTCCGGTAAAAAATGTCGTTAAAATCATAAAAATACCGAATATCGGGAGGTAAATTTATATGGGGGCTATAACTAAACGCGGACCTATATAGCCCATTTCCAATACCAAAAGTTCTGCAGATAAAACACACATTTGAGTAAAATTTTATCAACTTCAACAAATTCGACATAGAATTTTATGCTGATCAAGAATATATATACTTTGTGGGGTCTAAAAGGTATATTTCGAGGTGTTACAGACGGAATGACAAACGGAATCCATACAACGGTGGAGGCTATAATAACCAATTATTTTCAACCTACTGGTAATGGTTCTATGTTTACATTACCTTTTAATGGGTTATTTAGTCCATACAGCTCTTAAGTTTTTACTGAGCATGAAGGTACTTTTGGGGCTCTCACACACATATTTGGGAGTGTTTCCAACACCCCTACATCTTGTGGAAACAAAATAGCTCACCCTCCATGTTGTAGCGGAGGATAAAAAATTCCTTTTTAATTTTTTTGCATTAATTTTCCTCCTTTGTTACTTCGAAATCCCCCCACCTTGATGCCGACGGCAGTTGTTTTTTGTAAAGCAATGAAGCAAAATCCTTACTTCTTCATACAGTGTCCCTTTGGGCTGTTACGGCTGAGTGCCAGCCTACATTGTTAGGCAGTAACGAAGAAGGAAAATAAATGAAAAGCAAAAACAAAAGAAAAAAATCTTTCAAAACAAATAAGGCCACTTGTTGCTCGGCCAAGACGAATAAAAGAACAACGGCTCCCTAGACGGTCGGGACAACAGACATTTATGGTTTGTAACAAATAATAATAATTCATTTTTTTTTTTTTCAAAATTATAAAACTTTACTGTTTACACACACACAAGAATTAAATTGTTTCATTAATAGGACTTGACAAGTAATGGAGGGGTAAAATGGGGATTTATTTTGGTGGTTACCTCTCTTCTTGTTATTTCTCAAAAACACAAACAAAACCCTCTGCTCTAGATGTCTTGTGTGCTCCGTTCTATTTGTCTGTTTGTTTGTTTATTATTAGCAGCATTAGTATTGGCAACATGTTTTCTTTGTATCTCTTGTGTTTTGCTTTATTTGTTTTGCATTCTCAATCAAATGAATGCTGGTATGTGCGAGTGTGTGTGTGTGTGCATTTATGGCACATTAGAGTAATCTAAATGTTCTTTATGGATTATGTTGTTGATTTAACACAACATAAGCACCTCATCTCATTAAATTAGAGAAGTAACACGAAGAGAAAGAGGGAGAGAGAGAGAGAGGCTATGAACTAATGAGGGGTTATATTTAGATGATACATTTCCTCTATCTCTGTTAGGTTTGTTGTGCAAATAAAAACATAAATAACTGGTGGTATGTGTCCACAGAAGAAGAAGAAGACACACAACAACAATAAAACCCATGTTTATTACACTCCACAACTGACTACTTGCATATCAAAGACTTGTACCATGCTTGTTTCGATAAGTTCAAATATTTGTATTAAACTTTTTTATGGCCCATTTCGTTTTCAAATTATGGCCTAAACAATATGTGGTAGATAGATGAAGAAAAGAAAAAAAATCGTGAAGAACATCATTGCCATAAAACAGCCAGCCAGCCATGCATGTAGAGCGACATGTCCTACAATTGTTCTTATTGTTGCCGGACAACAAACAATAAAAGCAAGCAATTAATCATAAATGGGGGTCGTAATCACAAACGATTTTCTTGTCGTCTTGCAAAACTCAGAGAGAGAGAGAGAGGATGAAATTGTTAACGACAACTTCCCGTCAGCAGGGTTTTCTTAAATTGTAATAAATGATTTTTATATAGCCCGTTGTTGCTTCTGGCATAATTGATAGAGGAGAAGACATCATCAAATACTTGCTCTACGATGGGGGATAATGGATATGAAAACGGCACATTGTCATTTAGATGAGAAGAAATGAGGGATATTTCAGATGATAATGAGAGGAAAAAATATAATATTTTAACGTTCCCATAAAATAGCAACAATTATTCCATGTAAACTTATAAATAACATAAAATTATTTTCTTTGTTATGTGTTTCTCCCTAAAAAGGGTTCACCATTTTATTAACACTTACCAAACACTTAATTAAAAACTTAGTTTATCACATATTTTTTAGAAAAAAATGTTTTAATTATACATTGTAAGAAAACCACCTCCACATGACCAAGGTAAATGGGTCGTCTGACCATTTTTTTTTTGTCCTGTTCTACCCAAAGTCTAATCTAAAATAAATAGAGACATTTTGTCACTTTTCTGTGCAAACTTCAAACAATTAAGAACAAAGATTAGTTAAATAAATCTTCGGGCTAGCATACAAGAGGACCAAAGCAACAAACTTAGATGAAGTTTCCTTCCAAATGCAAACCGTTCATGATAAGCCAAAAGCAGGCAATTTCTTTGTTTTGTATTCCCCGAGAAACGGATAAACTGTTTGCCAAAAAGCCACGAAGCTAAAGACACAAAGGCAACAACAGCAACAAGGACAACATCATTCACAATGGCAATTAATTGCGGTTTAAATAACAAACGACCAAACATTAACTAAACAGCAAATGACCCTGGAGGTTTTGGAGAGATGTTCCTGGCACACACATACACACAAAGAAGTGGCTTCTGCTGTGGGATTTCAAAAAATATGTTATGTGGAAATGACCAAAGAACAAAAGAAAAAAAGCCAACGGGAGTTTAAATTAAGCGCCAAAAATGTAACCCTCATTTTGTACAGCAGTAGGGAATGACACGTTTTGGTTCAATGCAATGGTATAAAAACAAGCTTTTCGAAAGCCTAACCATATTTTTTCCAAACAAAAACCAGTAAAATAGCTGCTAATTTCGACCGGGCCGGACTTTTAATACTCTCCACTATTTGGAAGGAACTTGAAAATTTTCAAAAAATTACGATAAAAGCCGTTACGGGGCCTATGCTAAGGCTTGGACCTGCATACGTATTTCTTTTTTCTTTTTTTTAAGATTTTAAAATACGAAATTTGAAACAATTTGGTGAATAATGTCACTAAAATCATCAAAATACCGAATATAGAGGGATACCGCTATATGGGGACTACAGGAAACGAACGCCATAAGTTTTACACTCTTTTTAAATTTAATTGAATGAAAGCAAAGAATGTCGGAAATAGCATCAAATTTTAGAATAAGTTTAGATTTGGTTGAATTGGTCACCTTTGGCA